ACAGTGCACCCCGAGGAACACGGTCCAACACCTTCTCCAAGTCCACAAAACACATGTAGACTGGATGGGCAAACTCCCATGACCCCTCAAGGACCCTAGTGAGGGTAAAGAGCTGGTCCAGTGTTCCACGGCCAGGACAGAACCTGCACTGTTCCTCCAGGATCTGAGGTTGGACCAAAGATCGGACTCACTTCTCCAGTACCCCAGAATAGACCTTACCAGAACCACCATCCCAGTCTGCTGATCCAGTGGCACTACCCCCAGTGTCCACGTGATGTTGCAAAGGTGTGTCAACCAAGACAGCCCCACAACACCCAGAGCCTTAAGGAGATCAGGACTCTCATCCACGCCTGGAGCCCGTGGAGCTTTGTAACTACCTCGGTGACCTCAGCCACAGTTGAGGTCAACAGCCCCCACCTTCACTGAGCAGTGTTAGTAAAGAGCTGCTTCTCCTCCTCAGCCGCCTCACGGTTTGTCTGAATCTCCTCAGAGCCGACCAAGAGTCTCGGTCCAAGGTCTCACTGAACTCCTCTCACATGCGAGTCCTTCCCTCAGAAACAGCCAAGGCTGTGGACCGCCTGGCCCTCCGGTACTCCTCAGCTGCCTCTGGAGTCCCAACAGCCAACAAGGACTGACCGGACCCCTTAAGCTTGACAGCCTCCTGAACCCAGGGTGTCCACCACCCTGCTGTCCTGGTCCTGGAGGACCACCATCCTGCAGGTCTTCATGTGTCTCTGCAGCGGCCTGTTAATCACTCAGATCAGGAGTCACAGCAGACGTCTAAAACATGCAGGACCGTGGTCCTCCAGGACCAGACACAGACCACCTCAGTCCATCAGGACTTTGTTGCACCTCCTCTGAGGTGTAAACCTAATGACCAGCTGAGAGACCAAGTCTCTCCAGAGCGTCCTGGGTCTTCCCTAAAGGCTCCTCCCAGATGGACATGTCCAGAACACCTCCCTTTGGGGCGTCCAAGGTCCACCCTGACCAGATGCCTAAACCTCCTCAGCTGGTTCCTCTCAATGTGGAGGAGCAGTGGTTCTATTCCGAGTCTCTCCTAGAGAACTGAACTTCTCACCCTCTCTCTAAGGGAGAGTCCAGCTACCCTGCAGAGAGGACTCCTTTAGACCCCCTAGATCCAGGATCTGGTTCTTTCAGTCTCAACCCAGAGTTCAGGACCAGAGGTGAGGGAGTGTAGACCGAGCAGTAACAGAGCTTCTCCTTACAGTTCAGCTCCTCTTCACCACAATGGACTGGCACAAAGTCCACAGTACTGCAGAAGCTCATGCTCCATCCTTCAAACCCAGAGGTCCTTGAAGTCCTCCACTCGAGGCAGAACCTCACCCGTGACCCAGAGAGGACGGTCCACCTGGTTCTGACTGAGCGGAGGCACGTTGGAGATTTATTTCATATGAAGTTAAAGGAACTCCTTCAGGAGTGCTGATGTCAGAACGTTAGTCAGGGTCTGTAGTACGAAACCGTTTGTATTGATTCAGCCTCTTTATTTCAGGGAGCTGATGTTAAAACTTTGATTTGGCTCTTGGACCGTTTCGTCCACTGAAGCTTCAGCTCAGGCGGCCTTCGATGCTGTCGGACGCCGCCGCACGTCTTCCGTCAACGCTTCGTTTTACGTGTTCAGACGTTCCGATCGGGTCACGAGATCAGGCTTCGAAGCGCCACGCCGCCTCAGGACCGGCTCGTTTAACAGAACCAACCAGGAGCCTCTGATCCGGATCTTTAAGGGCTGAAAGATGAAACGTTCCCAAACCCTGCCTGGAGGAAGCGTGAACAGGTTACGTCTTACCTGCAGCAGGTAGCTCTGAGCGGCGTCGGTCTGAGTCTGAAGTCGTTTCTTTTACTGAAACCCACGTGTCGGCTTCATAAAGCCGCGTCTGAACAGCTGTGACACGTCGGAGACGGGAGTTTTAAGACGGTAGCTCTGAGGACGTTAAAAAGGATCATCAACAGGTGAGGTTACCTGTTCGTGACCCGCCCACAGAACCCTTTAGGTCCAGTTTCAGAAACAAACTGAACCTTGGGACCTGGTCCACCAACAGGACCAGCTAAAATGCTTTCACTGACACAGAGCTCGTTTGTTATGGTCCAGAAGGTTTCGTTGGGTCTGGAGCAGCAGCGGTCCACGTCGGGTCACTTCCTGTGGGAATCGAACCTTTTTCTGCTGGGACGGTGGGCGATCACAGCCCAACACTGAGTCAGAACATCAGAGTCCTACTGAACCCCCTCCAAACGTAAAGTGCTTCATCAGCATGTCTCACGTGGCTGAACGGGAACTGAGTGAAGGGGCGGGGCTTAAAGTTGTCTGGTTCTCCTTGAATGTGGTGGCTGGAGTACCTTTGGACCGGACCTCCGTGGCGCTCCGGGTCGTCCTCATAGCAACACGTCAGGACCGGCCTCGACGCCATTTTCCTGCTAGTCGTGACAAAAGGAGGCAGTTAGAGAACAGAGAACTGGAGCGGGGCCACATCTACACGCACACACACAACGTGCACGATCACGAGCAGGAAGCTGTCACTCACACGTGCACGCTCATGCTTTTCAAAGACAAACAATCAGCAGGTTACAGGCACTAAACAGAGGGTTCCTGCACCGTCCACGTGGTTCCACAAGGTTTCCAGATGTTTTCAGCTGCTTAAAGTCCAACATGGACCCTCAACAACCTAGCTCCATCTTATATTACAGATCTTATTGATCAATATTTTACTAACAGAGCACTTCTCTCTCAGACTGCAGGTTTACTTGTGGTTCCTAGTTTCCAGCAGCAGAATGGGAGGAAGATCTTCCAGTTCTCAGGCTCCTCTCTTGTGGAACCAACTTCCAGTTTCTGTCCGTGAGGCTGACACATTGTGCAGTTTAAGACTTTCCTCTTTGATAAATCCTATAGTTAGGGTCAGTTTGGGTTTCCTGAGCTGTCCCTTAGTTCTGCTAATAAAAATAAATAAAATTTGTATGCGTCTTTTATGATTGTTTATTGTTGTCGTTGTTACTGTCATCAGTCTTTGTTAAATCAGGTCTCTCTTGTAAACGAGTCCTCGAGGCTCAATGAGACCAACCTGCAGAAATAAAGGTTGGATGAAGAATTATTTCTACCTTAACATGTTTTCATCTTTCCTCCGATAGAAACCACACCTGGACCCGTCATTCTGTGTCTGTTTCTACTTCCTGTCCTCTCAAACCCAGCCGCTCTTCCTGATCCTGGTTCTTCTGGAGGTTTCTTCCCGTTAAAGGGAGTTTTTCTTTCCACTGTCTCCTTTGTTCTTGCTCAGGATGAGACTGTGATGAAGCAAAGATTCAACGTGTCTGCTGCTTCTTCAGAGAACTTTTAGTATTTCGCTTTAATGTGAATGTTTTTGTACAGACCTGAGAAAACGTCTATTGGGACTTAGAGCTCCAAAACTGAACCGAATTAACGTCCTGCGGTCCAGGGACCGTTGACGACTTGTGGTCCGTGGACCGTTGACGTCCTGCGGTCCGGGGACCGTTGACGTCCTGCGGTCCGTGGACCGTTGACGACTTGCGGTCCGTGGACCGTTGACGTCCTGCGGTCCGTGGACCGTTGACGACTTGCGGTCCGGGGACAGTTGACGTCCTGCGGTCCGTTGACAACTTGCGGTCCGGGGACCGTTGACGTCCTGCGGTCCGTGGACCGTTGACGTCCTGCGGTCCGTGGACCGTTGACGACTTGCGGTCCGGGGACAGTTGACGTCCTGCGGTCCGTTGACAACTTGCGGTCCACGGACCGTTGACGTCCTGCGGTCCGTGGACCGTTGACGTCCTGAGGTCCACGGACCGTTGACGTCCTGCGGTCCGTTGTTTTCAGCCTTTTTCTTATGGCTTTCGGCTCGTTCAGGATGCTGACGTCTTGTATTTTGTAACGTTCACATAGCTAACAGCTGTTTTTAGCTTCTTACGGTACTTTAGCTGATGTTTTGATTAGCTTTACTGTTTTGGCATTTACGGCTCTGGACTACAGTTCAAACAGATTTGTAGCAGTCGTCTTTGGTTTAGCTGCACCATTTCTATTAAGTTTAGCTTAATGCTAATTTAGGCTTTTATCTAAATTTAACTTTACAGTTCTGTTTAAGCTTTTTGAAACAAATGTGCTAATTTCAGTATTTGCCTGTAGTTTAAAAAGATTGAAGTGGTTTTAAGTCACGTTTTGCTTTTTTTAAATATATACATTAGCTAAAGTATAGCTGTATTTAGTGTGTTGTGATTGTTTTAGCGCTCAGCTGAATTCCACAGAAAGTTGAGAGGAGCCGAAGTTTGGAAGCAGTTTAACAACAGGGCCAGTTTAAAACTTTTACACGGCAGCCAGCCGTTTGAAATGTAAAATCTAACTTTTGTCTGTAAGAAAAGAAACATTCAGAGTAAAAGCCACGTCCGGCGCAGGAACCCCGAGGAGCCGAGGCAGCGAGCAGACATGAGGAACAGGTGAGTCATGCAAAGCAGGTGCGTCCCACCAACATGCAGGTTAGTATCAGCAAAGATCCTTCTGGGACAAGAACAGCTCAGAGCCTAAAGGTGGGGTCGACCCCCCCATTGGTCTGCAGGAGGTCGGGGCTTACGCCGGATGCTGCGCTCAATTTGGGACACGAATTGTTGAGACGTGAATGTGTTTTGGACATGAGGAACTCAAAGATGGAGGACGTGACGACACGCACACTACAGGAGTTTGGAATTTGAAGCATGCAGGGAGGCGCAGCGGCTCGTGGCAAACCTTTGGTCCGCTTTCTTCCACGAGGAGCCTTAAAATTTGAAGGAGAATTTGAGGAGAGAGTTTCCCAAACATGAATTTGCAACACAATTTGAGTTTTTGTACACGTGTGTGTCGTGTATGTTTATTCAAGCAGACAAAGCAAAGAATACAAGCCAAAATGTAAAGCCAAAGTAGGACAGCGCCGGTCCTTTAGTTTCCAATAACAGACACGCTTTGACAACACAGACCGTAACTTAAACACATGTTTAGAGACACGGGCCTCGCTGCTGTGGTTTAAAACATGGACACCAGAACGACTGAACACAGAAAGCTCCGGAACATTCCTGCATCTAAAAGAGTTTTTTGGGGATTGCTGTGGAAAACCTGCAACGATCTTAAAAACAAAAAGAGGCAGTTCCCAGAACCCGGCGGAGCGACTACGTGGAGTCCAAGCGGATCGTTAAAATATATACAAAAACATCTTGTCACCAATTTGGAGGGAAAAAGGTGAAAGAATGCAAGCGGCGGTACCGAGGGCCAATCGGATCGGGTCTTTAGACGGTTCTGAATGGAAGCTCTACGGGTCTACTTCCACTGATGCCCAAAAGAATCCTGATAGAACTCCTCGTGGTCAGATTTGTAGCCGGAATAGTTACCAGAATGGTCGCCGTGCAGCGGCTGCTGGGCGATGGGCTGAGAGCCCCAGTTCTGATTACTGGTCTGGCGCCGTTTGGAATCGGGCTGGTTGTACCCGTCGGCTTTGCGCTTTCCTCCTACATTTCCACCGCGGCCGCCCCGCGCACCACGTACCCCTCCTCGTCCTCGCGGCTGCCCGCCTCCTCGTGGTCCACGTCCGCCGCCACGGCTCGCCCCAGACCCGCCGCTGCCGCCACGCTGGGGGTAGCTGGTCCTGCCTCTGGGTCCTCTGGACGGCGAGACTCCGCCCACGTAGCCTCTGAGGCTGCCCCGCCCACGGCTTGGGGCCTGGTAGTCGTCGTAGCCGTAGTAAGGGTCGTCGTAGCCACCGCGGTAGTTGTGGTAGTCGTAACCGTAGTAGTCGTAGTAATCCTCGTAGCTGTAGTACTCGGGGGGGTAGGAGTACGCCGCCCCCCGGCTGGAACCCCTGCCCCGGCCTCTGGTGGGGGGAGGCAAGGGGGGAGGGGGAGAGTAGTAGTAGTAATCATCGTACCTGAAGGAGGAAGAAAACGAGAACGCAGGTAAAATGGTTTGAATTCAAACGATGAAAAAACCTGAAAAGTTCTGCTGAGGTTCCACGCAGAACGTGAGAGGAACCCAGGCCGGCTTCAAGGTTCTGCAGACCAACCCTGCTGAAGCTAACGCTATGCTAATTACAGCTAGCTGCATCCTACTTTAGCCTTTAGCTACGTTCACACTTCAGCTTTTTCAGAGCGCAGCGCTCGTTCAGAACCATGGACAGAAGACACGTGTCTTACACCGAGTGTTTCAGGGACAGGTGGACAGAGGACACGTGTCTTACACCGAGTGTTTCAGGGACAGCTGGACAGAAGACACGTGTCTTACACCGAGTGTTTCAGGGACAGCTGGACAGAGGACACGTGTGTTACACCGAGTGCTTCGAGGACAGCTGGACAGAGGACACGTGTCTTACACTTGAGTCTTGGCCGCCTGTCTCTGGGCTTTGCGCTCCTTCCTCTTCTGATCCGGTGGTTTGGCGAACACGATCTCGATGGGTTCTCCCTCCAGCTCCTCGCCGTTCATTTCGTCCAACGCCTGGACAAAAACACAGATCTTAACGCGTCCAGGTCCAAAAGGACGGGTCTGAGCTGAGGACTGGGTCGTTACCTTCACAGCGGCGTCCCTCTCCTCGAAGTGAACGAAGGCGTAGTCCTTCAGCTTCTTCACGCGCTCCAGTTTCCCAAACTGGCTGAAGGCCTTCTCCAGGATCTCCTCCGTGACGTCGTTGGAGAGGTTCCTGACGAACAGAACCTTGACCTGCAGCACAGAACCACACAGCCTCAGCTTCTCGTCCTCAGACCTTCCCAGGCGTTGTCCCGACGGCTCACCTTGGCCATGATCTCTGGGTCGGGGTCCTCGATGGGGTCGGCCCACTCCACCGTCACCAGGCTGTTCCACACCTTCACCTTCCCGCTCATGAGCCGGCGGCGCGCCTGGGCGGCCGTCTTGTGGTCGTCATACTCCAGGAAGCAGAAGCCTCTGTTCTTCTTCTTGTCGTCGGGCTGGAGGTACAGGATGACGTCGCTCAGTCCTTCTGCTCAGACACAAACGGGTCAGATAAGGAGTTTAGAGTTCGAGAGGAAAAGCCCCAAGAGTCCGTCTTCAACTAGAGGTCAGTTCTAACCCGACCCGGATCGGGCCATAATAATGTTTAGTGTGCGGGCCGGGTCGGGCTTTTGTGTCACCAGCTGCACCGCGCGCTGACCGGCTGGTTGAAAGAGGTAAAAGGTTCAGTGAAGCTTCAGGTGGACGACTGCCAGCGACCCATCGTCCAAATGGACGTTCAGAGGACGCACGCAGCCGACGACCTGAGCAGGTGAGGTCACGAAGTATCCGACATGTCAGAGCGGGGTCCGTGTCTGAATAATGCAGAATGCAGCAGACGCAGGGATTTAATGACGGCCATGAAAGGACAAACATCCCCTCAGCTGCGTCCACGTTAACAACTACACGCAGTCAAAGCTTAATTAAAAATGTCGGGGGAGTTTTCGGGTTCGGACCTGTAATTACTGTTAATTCGTCGGGTGGGGTTCAGAAATGATGGCTACGTGCTGGGGCCGGGTCGGATTTTTTGGGTACGAATGCAACTATATTTGAACACTGGTGTTCCACAGGGTTCTGTGCTATCACCACTTTTATTCTCTATAAACACGAATGAGTTGCGACATAACAAAGACCACATTAAGTCTTCTGATGACATGGCTCTAGCTGCTGGTCTGAAAGGCACCAACAGCACCTCACTCCCAGCTCATCGACCAGCTCTCTGCCTGTATTAACAAAACGCCAGGCAGCGTCTCCACCTTCTGTATAAGAAGCTTTAACGCTAGTAGAAATACTTTGCAGTTGGTGCACAGGTCACTGGTTGTCACTGGTGTTGCTGCCTTTAATATCGTCTCATGGTACGGGAACCCCCTATAGCCAGAGACAGGAACAAGTTGTCCCAGGACATCAAACTAGTTAGCAAAGTCATGGGTCATCAACAAATGGCACCTACAGACCTGTACAGTCAGGTTCTGGAACAAAAGTCAGCGCAGGTTTACAATGAGCCAACTGATCCAGTGCAACCATTATTCAGACTGGTACCATCTGGCAGAAGGCTGCTGGTTCCTGTGGTAAAGAAACGGTGCGTGTCCTTCACAGGGTCTTATTTAAACGCAGCCTCACACCACAGCCACGGTCTGCTCAGATGTTTTCATGTATTTTATGTTTTAGTGGGTTAGAAAAGCTTCTTAAACTTTATGACATTTTTTACTTGTGTTGTTTTTCATGAGCCAGATGTCAAAGATAAATGTCCATCTCATGAAATGTTATGGACAATAAAGTTGTATTGATCGATTGATTGATTGTGTGAGGACGTCAGGCGGGGCTGGACCTCCTCAGACCCAGCACCTGATGGTTACCTGTGACTTTAGCGAACTCTTCAACGATCTGCTCCTTGGTTTTGTTTTTCGGGATGGAGCCAACAAAAAGCCGGTTGTTGGCCACAGATATGCACACGCCGATGTGCTTCCCGGGCCGGATCCTGTAATTATTGTACTGTAAACAAACAAAACAAACGTTCGATTATAGCGAACCAAGGCCGCCGCCGAGCGCCAGCGTCCCGACAGACCCACCAGCTTCACCGCCTCCTGGGCGGCGTCTTTACTGCAGAACGTGACGAAGGCGTAGCCCCTGTTCAGGCTGCTCAGGGGGTCCATCATGAGCCGGAGGTCCCAGATGGGCCCGGCCTTCTCAAACAGAGGAACCAGCTCGTCTTCAAACAAGTTGCGAGGAATCTTTCCCACAAATATCTAGAAGAAGGAACGAGAGTTTAACGAGTGTGAACGACTCGAGCCTTTTTAGGCTGCTTATTTTTAATTCTCAACCTGAAGGTAGAGGAAGGAGGATTCTATATTTTTTATTTTAGGTTCAATTATTTATTCTTCCTGCTCAGTCCGGAGGAATACCAGGTGGAAAACTGTATATTAAAAAACCCGGAACACAAGCCTCGTCTGGCTCGGGGTGGACCTGGAGTATCATGTCTGAACCCTCTGCGTGCAGTACACGTGTACGTACGCTCCAGTACACTGGTCTAGTCCCACCGAGCCTCGGGACTCGTTTGGAGAGACGTGTAAAAAGCTCCAGGAGAAGACGTTAGATGAATTATTCATGACTTTACTGCTGCAGAGCTCTGAATGAAACCTCTCCCTGGATGTAAAAACTCACACACTTCATGCAGTCATCAGGACAGAAGACGAGAACTGGACATTCTGGAGAAAATGAAGCCGGCTGTGTCCCTGGGGGCTGCACCGCTCCTGCCGTTAGCTGCAGGTGGACACAAGCTACTTCACCAGAACCAGAACCAGGTCCGTTTCTTTCCTGCTGCAGCAGAGTTCTCTGTCCTTCACAAGAAGAGTCTCCATCATACAACGAGACTCTGCAGCCTGCACGGACTTACCATCAGTGCATGTGTTGGAGACTCTTATTGTGAAGGGCTGAGACAAGCTCTGCTGCAGCGGCATGAATCTGGACTCAAGACTGGTTCCTGGACCTCAGACTGGTTCCTGGACCTCAGACTGGTTCCTGGACCTCAGACTGGTTCCTGGACCTCAGACTGGTTCCTGGACCTCAGACTGGTTCCTGGACCTCAGACTGGTTCCTGGACCTCAGACTCTACTACACACATTCATACAGCACTCTACCAGATCTCTACAAAGATGATCTGAACCTGTAGAGACTAATAATAATAGTTTTATCACATTCAGACACTGATGGGACACATCAGAGGCAGTGAGGGGTTCGGTGTCTTGCTCGGGGACACTTCAGCATGTGACTGGTGGTGGAATCGAACCCTCCAACTCTCCCACTAACCACTCAGCCACAGCCGCCCCTGTAGTTAAGACCAGCTGTAAACCAGCAGGTTCCTCTGGACTGGTGTGAACATTTCATCTTTAGCTTCTTCACGTGACGGTCCAGAACCGTGGCGGTCCAGAACAGTGACGGTCCAGAACCGTGACGGTCCAGAACCGTGGCGGTCCAGAACCGTGGCGGTTCTGTTGGACCTTTTATTCCTTGAACTAGTTTGAAACAAAAGTTGTCTGAGGTTTTAGTCCATCCTGCATCTGTAATGTTTGTGTGATGTTTACTAACGGATGCGTTGTTGTAAATACTTGAAGCCGTGTTGCCGTCCTGGCACACTGTCCAGGACACGGTTGTAAGAGATTAATAATCTCAGTGGTAAATTAAGGTTTGAGAACAAGCTTGAAGAACGCAGAGAACACCTTTACCTCCGTTCCACAGGTGGGCTGGGGACCAGAGAACACAGACTCAGGTGGGGGCCCGCCGTACTTCCTCTGGCCCGTGGTGACGTCCAGCGTGTAGCCGGACCGGTCCAGGAGCTCTTTGATCTTGGTCTCGTCGGGTCCCTTGGTGGTGGGCGTGACTTTGTTGCCCTGCTTCTCTCTCTGCCTGTAGGTCTTCATCACGCCGCAGAGGAAGGCACTTTTGTTCTGGAGCAACGAGCAGCATTAATTACCAGAATCCACATGCAGAGCGTGCGGAGCAGAACAGAACCTACTTGTACGTGAGACAGGTCGCTCTCTTTGAACTGGACCAGAACCTGCAGCGCTCCATCTTCATTAAATTCTTTCAGAGCTTCCAGGGCTCGTTCATCCAGGTCACTGTGTGCCACCAGACCTGAAGAAACAGAACACACCGTCAAGGTTCTGCTCAGAGAGCGGAGGACCACTCTCCTGATGGTCCAGTCCGTACCACGTTCATCAGGACTTCAGGTCCAGAACATTAAAAGCTTTGATCCCAGGCTGTCTGTGAGTTGGAAACAGGTCAGAACCTCCAGGGTTTCTGCTGGTGGAGCTCACCGTCAGCTGTGGTCCAGCTGTGGACGGGTCGGTCCAGTCAGCTGAAGTCCTGTCCCAGCTGGTTGCTGCCTGATCAGTCCATTTAGGAGAAAGAGGCAAAAGTCTTAAGCTGGAGCCTTTTTCCAACACAGTTTGAGGTTTTGACCTTCAGCGTGTGAACGAACCAACATTAGCTGTTTATTTTTGTTTACTTTGTTGTTTTCACAGCCGAACATTTTCACGTTGAGCACAAGCCGACCGCACGTCTTCAGCTGGACAGCTGCAGGCCCAGCCTGGACCCAGACTTCTGCCTCCACCCTCTGAGGTCAGGAACACCGTAGAGGGTCAAGTTTTAAGATGATCCATCCTCTCCAGCAGCTGAAGGTGCAGCTGATGGAGTCGCAGTAAAGACCGGGTCGAACACGAGCAGAATAAATCCAGCAGGAAGACTCAGAATGAGGGACACGATCCACGTTTTAACTTCTGATCCTGATAAATAAATCTGGATATCAGCCGACACGTTCTGAGATCATCATCATCGTCATTACTTTCATTCAACCTTTGTTTCTACAGGTGAGTCCCACCGAGCCTCAGGGACTCGTTTACAAGACACACCTGGTTTAACAAAGAGTGACGACAACAAACAGTTACAAAAGAGACGCACGTTGTTTTAACAAGTTTAAATAAAATGGTATCATCATTGATTTTACACGAGGCTGTAATAATCTCCTCTCTAGTACAATCTGTACAAATCCATGCATGCACGTCCAAAAAGGCAACTTGAGGTAAGTTTTATTAATGTTGGACAAGTTTTAAAGTTAGAATTAATCCTGTCAACACAAAACGTGTTTTTTATTATTCCTAGCTTTAAAGCAGATATTAAAGTGATTAAATGGCTTCAAACATCTGGTAAGTTCATGACATAACCAACAGACTCTGTTTTAGTGTTTCATCACTTTATAATGGAGCTGTTTCTGTATCGTTGTTTTTAAATATACGATTCTCAAATCGTAGTTTGTATGATCGTCTCCTGTGGTACTGATAAATATCTCCTGCAGGGTAAACTAGATCTGGGCTGCAAGTATCGAGCTGAGAAGTCCTTTGTTTCTACAACTGATCGCTGCTGATCATCAGTTATGATGAAGTTTAGTAACTTGTGTGTCAACGCTCGAGGCTTCAGGGCCTCTTCTTCTTGTTCGGTCTGATTCCTGTGAGCAGCGCTCGGTCTGACCCTCCTCTCAGACTGAAACCAGACTGAACAAGAACAACACGCCGCTGAAACCAGGGAGCTCAACGTGCAACGTAAAACTTTACGGCCGTTTAATGTGGTGCTGTGCTTGATCAAGGTCGTATTATAGGTCGCGATGGAGCTGCTCCTCTCGGTGCAGCGGCTCTGCAGACATGGCACGTTCTCATCACTCTGGGTTCACGAGCCTCCGTTCAGGAAATCCATCCCATAGTTTGAAGCCGACGTGCATTGTGGATCAGACATATCTGATGTGTCATACTGGATCGGCCCCATCCTTCACAGAATACCTTCTGGGTCTGAACTTACCTGCTACAAACAGCTCCTCGAGTTTCTCGGCTACTTTGCGGGACAAACCGGCGTCCAACAACGCCTGGAGATGTTCTGAACGGGCCGTTGCTGATTTAGAGTCCACGGTCTCCTCGGTGCCGTTCCCATTGACGTGATCTTCAGACATCTGCAGGAGGACATGAACATTCAGTTCTCAACAACCAGGTCCAGAGCAGGGACAGAGTCCACACACAGAAACGTTTCACCTGAGGGCAGGTAACATCCTCACTAAACACGTTTACTGCTGCATCTACCGTACCGTCATAATTCATCCGTGTTCCTCTCTACCTGTGCAATAACCTGTCACACCTGTGTATTATGTGCCATACATCATGAACACTTTAGCTTATATTACTACCTTGAAATACTTATTGATACTAACTCCTCCTACTTGCATCGTTATATTCTACCATGTTGTTGTTGTTGTTTACTAGTTTTCTTTAGGATCTCGTAATTATAGTTTTTCACTCCTTGGTAATTTATTTTGTACCTTTACTGAACGCTTTAGTGTATTTCAAGTTGAAACAGTTCCTCTCATCCTGAGCATTTCATATTGTTGACGTGCATGTGACAAATAAACAAGACAACAACTGCAGAGGCGCCCAGCCTCAGGTTCACAACCAGACGCCGCACCCATTAATCCTTCTTTTAACGACATTCAATGTGGAAAAACACTAGTGTCCGTCCATTATCGCAGGCCATCTGGACCCTGAAGACCCGCCAAGAATAGTAGTACAAGTACGACAAGTAGTAGTTTATTGTAGTATATAATCTATATAAGGCGTTTTAAACCCTTCCCACTCTTGTAATATTTGAAACAATGTTTCTAAACTGTAAACGCTCTAAACAAACAGCCTGTCATGACTTCAGCTCCTGCCTCCGCTGCTCTCCTGCAAGTGCTCTTGGCCACGCCCACTTCTCAGCTCTGCCTGAGATCAGCTGATCAGCTGCAGCAGGAAGTCTATCCTGCAGTGTGGGCTGCACAAGGTGCTAAATAATTTAAAATAATTTATTTTAAATTAAAATTTACTGCCGATCGTGCGGCTCAGCCGTCAATCAGCCAATTGTGTGTCGTGTCCACTCTTATTTTGAAAAACCGCGATAAGGGACTCTGCAATAAACGAATCGAAGTAGCGAGGGTCTAAAGCATTTGATGTCCAACAAGGTAAAGTCAGGTCCTCTGAACAGATTCTTCTTTGTTCAAATGTTTCGTCTCTTATCCAAAGGACTTCTTCAGCGTGAGGAGCCACAACAACCTCAGGGCCGTCAAGGGGCCAGACATCCAGCACAAATAAACTTTAACATGAATTTAATTTAACATTTCAAATGTAGTTTACACGAACCTGTCGGCCTCGTCAGAAATCATCCAGATCACTTATTAACGAGTCTTTTCAAACATTTAAAGTTTCTTTTTAAACTCACGGTGGGCCGGACCGGTCATGACCCGCGGACTGGACTTGGCCCCCGGGCCAGCACTTGGACCGTCCGTGTCTTTGACCACTACGGACGAATTGTGGGTCTGATCCGGACAACAACAATAAAACGTTTGATAAAGCCCCGCGTGGACACAAATCACAATAAAGCCCGGCACGTCTTCTCTGAACAGGTAGCACGTGACAGTGCACACGAGTCCAGTTCAGGTACCGCCTGGTGTCCTCCAGAACCTGCTCAGGTGGCTCAGGTACCAAGAACCTGCTCAGGTGGCTCAGGTACCACGTGGTGTCCTCCAGAACCTGCTCAGGTACCGCGTGGTGTCCTCCAGAACCTGCTCAGGTACCGCGTGGTGTCCTCCAGAACCTGCTCAGGTGACTCAGGTACCAAGAACCTGCTCAGGTACCGCGTGGTGTCCTCCAGAACCTGCTCAGGTGACTCAGGTACCGCGTGGTGTCCTCCAGAACCTGCTCAGGTGACTTGGGTTCAGCTCAGCATGCGCCGTTTGGCGCCATCAGGCTGAACACCTGAGCTCGTGCAGGCCTCGCGCCGCTCATTACACCTTCAGTCGTGCCTCGTGTTTGCAGCAACACGCAGCTGAACACCTGAAGCTCTTCAGCTGCACACCTGAGGCTTCAGCCAGGTGAACACCTGGATCTGAACACCTGGAGCTCGTGCTTCAGTGGAGAAACGCTGCCTTCACCCTCGAGGCGCCGGTTAGCCGTCCTCATGCAGCGGCAGCCGGTCTTTCCTAACATGAGCTCACACAAAATGGACGGCTTCTCCGGTTACTTACCATGCGAGTGTAAATCTGGGCGCACGATGCTGATCCGCCGTGATGCAGGTAATCCAAATGGGGCTAAATCAAAAGGCCGGTGCTTCCAGGGTTACTTTCTTTCTAGCAGCGGGTAGAAAATGGCGGCCGGCCGTGTAACGTCGCGAGCTCAGCCTCTTCCTTTTGGGATGAACGGGGTTTCTGAGGGAGCTGTGCAGGGGCTGCCGGGTGTTCGGTTACAGCTAGCACGAGGCTAACGCCTGGACACCGGAGAAGTCCGCGTGTTTCAGTTGAAATTACCGTTTTTACTGCTTCTGCGCCACGAGTGCTGTCATGGTAACCGTGACACCGACCCGACGGGAACCGGAACAGTACCTGATGTACCCGAACATGAGGCTGAATCTGACGCAGCTGCACTCTGTACTGACTACATCGTTACTCTTTAAATAAACATTAATGTTAATCCGATGAGTGAAATCGGAACCATTTGACTAAAAATGTGCTTGTGTTTAATCATCGGTGCATTTTCCCCAGCAACACTTGGCGCGTGCCTTTTTAGTCAGCCGGGCCACGACCAGGGGAGAAATGGAAGATGAGCAGAAGAAACTGCTGGTACTCCGCCCACCCGGTTAGCCGCTTCGTCAGCCGGGCTACAAATGGTGCGGAGCTAATGGCACAGGCGCTGCAGCGTTACTTTAATTTTATATTTAGTTTCTAACAGCCTCCAAACTTTAATAATAGTCTTGAGCGATAGTTACCTATGATTTCTAAGTTTCTGTCTCGTAAAAAGCAAGTGTATCCAGATTATAAAAACGCCTCTGCAATTATAAATTCTCCATTTGATTATACACTTTAATTTGAACTTTCGTAAGAAATCAAATAGTACTTTTCGATTAAATACATTGTGGAGAATGGTATTTTTTTATCTGTCCACACTCCAGTCAGCAGGTGGCGGCACTGCGCCTTCACTGTTGGTCTGCCAACCGCCGAAGAAGATGACGTCACGCGCCATGCTCGCACGCTATTGGCTGAGCGCGATTTTTCAAACCAAACGGCTGCGTCGGTTCGGAGGATAAACGCTGCGTTAAAATGTCGGAACAGTCGATTTAAACTGGGTCAAGTTCATCATTTGAACCGTGTTCGGACGTTCTGGGGTGAAAGTGAAATGAATATCTCCACGTATCTCCAGTAAGTCAAGGTAGAAGCGAACTGTTAGCGCTGTCCTAGAAATAACTAACGTCCTTAACATTTGTCTCGCAGGCATTTTGAGGACAGTTTGTCTTCATACACAGGAGACGATCTTCTGGACCCATGGGGCAGGTGAGTTTTTATTTGTCCCACCTGAAAGTCCAACCATGTAAGAACACTTAATGAGACGAAACCGAGACAGGAGACACAAATATTCAGTGTTTTTCTGCAGATCAGTCTGAAATCATCAGATTTTTCTGCAGATCAG